TCTATTGTTTCTATTGATAAAAGCTCAGGTAGTAAAAAAGCTCGAGAAAAAGCTCCGTCTTGATGAAAGTCACATTATACGTAAGGTGTTACACTTTGTTACAACTGACGTAGATTTTGTTTAGTAATTAATAGTAGTTAAAATAGAAGACTTACGAGATATTATGACTAAACTTGAAGTCATATCTTTTATTGAGCTAATGGAAAAATAATTCGGACTAGATACGGAACTTTTTCGGAAAAAGCATGTTCTGTCGAAGCACTTTTAGCAACGTATTTTTATTTAAATGCAATATGCTACAAGCGTACCCGAGTGACTTAAAACTTCCACGCAAGTATAATTTATGCTTAGCTTGCGTCACATTGTTCCTAATCAAGTATGTATTCAATCAAAGTCTTGCTTCATACGCGCGTCAAGAGAAAAAAAAGAACGAAAGTTGAAGCCTTCGATCTTGGGAATAATATAGCTACTTGATGCCAGATTTTCTGAAAGTTTGCGAGCAAAAAAATTCATTCCCTCCGAAGCTAGTAAATATCTCAACGAAAAAAGACCTTTTTTCCCCCGTCTTATCCTTGATGGAGAAGAAAAAAATACGTCAACGACAATCTTTTCCCTCGTCGATCCGGTAAAGCAATAATCCGTAGACGGAAATCGAGCACAAAACGCGATGATCGAGATTTCGCGTGGGCGCAGCTGTCTTTTGGGGGTGTAATGTTACAGTAATAGTTTTTTGATCGCCACTCGTTTATTTAAGCGCGCGCAATCAAACGACTTTGGCCGTTGAATCCCGTGCCTACGGCCAAACGTGTTGTATATATTGAAAGTATTGTTTTTTTATGCACCGATTTTGGGGTCGTTACTTTGAGCGATAAAGTGTGCGATTGATTTTTGCGGTTTCGCTTTGGGTAGGAACATACAACTCCGAAACGTTTATTGGGTGATTTTTACGACCCTCTGCTTATAACATAACGGTAAAATTATTATTTTATGATAAATTCATTTTCATGATTTTACAAGAAATTTTTCACTTTTTGTCGTCTATTAATAGTTGCAAATGTGTATTAGTTAAATATTAAAACTGCGACGACTGCAAAATACCGTTGGACGATCGCCAACTGTCCATAAAGATTCTCATGTTTTTGTTTATAGAATGGCATCAACCTATGATTGGAAAAAAAAAAAAAAATTAAACGCAAGTTGTTACATTTCAACGATTTGTTAAAAATTATCAAGACATTTTGTACAATCAACCCAAGGTATGGTTATTATCTTTCTCCGGAGCAAGGTAACGCGACTCGAGTGCAGAAACAACCTGTAATCTTTCCACGCGACTCGATACTCCATTCGACCTGAAATTGCAGTGATCGATACCGATTGACTCACCCGTTTTTTTTTTCTTCCTCAACTCTTAAGTTTCATTGCATGTGCCGTACCCCCAAGACATGAAATTAATTTTTTCAATTTCATCGTCTCCTAATTTCTAGGTCACCATATTTCACGATACACAACGGGACCCATATACATCTACATTGCTAGGGTTTTGTTCTTTTCTCGAGTCGCATTGAATTATAGGTTGTTCTCTGTCCCGGTGCATGCCACTTTTTTTTGCAGGTCGACTTTGATAAATCAATGGGTGATGGTTTGAATTTTCCATTGTTGCCATGTATAATTTACGACTCGCCAATCAGTTTTCTGTCAGACGTATGCTACGAACGTTGTACACGCAGTACTCGATGATACACTTTTACTTTCGGTGACGTTTTTTTAACTTTGAAAATTTACTTGTTACTAATTTTTGACAAAATATCTCACCAAGTTCATATACATACAGGTGTAGACACGAGGGTCTATGTTTTTCAAAATTTAACTGCTTTTCAATTAAATTAAAAAAAAACATTCCGTTCGACTTCCAGAAGTGAGATAATGCTTCAAGTTGATTTTAATAAAAAGTAAATTTATTCGATTGGTTTATGGCTTTAATTCCTTGCAAAAAAATGTTTGAAAATTTACGTCTGACTACATCACGGTTTTATCACTTAAAATTGTCAATTTCCGAAATATATACTCTCAATGATTATGTAAACTTTTAAAATATTTAGTACAATACAAATTTGTAAAAAATGTGTAAAGTATATTTCTGTTTCCGTAGCTTATAACTTTCGAGTGTAGTTTACACTCATTACTTTAGACCACGAAATAAGTAATACGTGATATTTTCTCCATAATCTTCAATGTTTTCGAGCAACTTAAACGTATTGGCTATAAATCGTGGCAAGGAATTGAAATTTTGAAATTTTTACTCCCAGAATTTATCATCGATAACCTTAAAATAAAAAACTAATTTTTTTTTCGTTAAAATATTGGTCGTTAAAAAAAAAAGAGTTACCTACATATATTTTCCTTCATAAATTAATGCACAGTTGCGTTGTTCTACGAGAGCTCTTGTTGGGTATCTTTTTTCACGTAAGGACTCTAACACGGTCTCCCTGCGCAAGTGGCGACTCGAACTCCATAACTTTCCGAGTTTTAAAACTCACACTCTGTCGACCGCACCATATCATGAATCGTTAGTGCGTAGTAGGGTCTGTTTCGTGTATCACATTTACCATGATTTAAAAAATCCCTACGATTGATGATAAATCCAAAGCATTGGCCAGAAAAACTAATAGACCGTAAAAACCTCTCTAGGCGCAAAATCGCCGGACCCCTCGATAATCGACGATCAGATCTCGGTTCGACTTCCATCGGGATACCAAAAATAAAACAAAGCCGCTCAAGCGAGTACGAACCACGGGAATAGTGCGAAGTGCGGGTCCCCCTTCCCCGAAACAGCACCTACACACAGCCGCACGGAAATTATACACACATCCCTGGGGAGTATCTCTCTCCGTACAGGCAACATTGCCTCTCTCTCTCTCTCTCCTTTCTTTTTCTTGCAGCATCTCTGACGTCATACGCGCTGCTCTGCTTTTTTTTTATTCTCTGCTTTGGTTTTTCGCTCTTTTCCATACCACGCAGGGGGTCGGGGAAGAAGCACTTTATTCGTAGCTCTAATGACGAGACCAGCTGCCACTGCGCCCCGACTTGGGGAGATGATTCAGCTTCGACGTTCATACATACAAGTTTTTGTTGTAATAAGGTAATACCGAATTGGTTTTTTTTTTTTTTTTCCTTTTGGTAAAGCCATTTTCTTTCTGACAAAAGTTTCATTATGCGAGGGCACGCGAACAAAAGCCACATTCCTGATGAAACTTTTTTTTTTCATAGTTTTCTAGTCCTATACGTTTAGTCTGGATGACGTCAGTGTCAGCCCATGCATTTTCCAAAAAATGAATCATTGCTACAGCTGACGTACACCGTAACGTAACGAAGCAAAAAATACCGGTCAATCGGTCATGAGACGGACGTTTCACGTTCCCTTCATCCATAAAACCATATAATCCGCAACGACACAAGAGGAACGACCTTTTTTTTTTGTCCTCGCCGCTAGACCGTATGGAGAGTAACGGACAAGCACTAATCCCCAAATTAATATCAATCGGTGGTATATATATAAAATGGGAGAGCGATCGATCAGGGAACTCGGGCCGCACCACCGCAAAAGAACAACAATCAGCTGGGGTTCCTCAAATATCGCCGGCATCACGAAATCCACCGGATTATGTACTCAATTATCGCACGGCTCGGCTACAACTTACTTATTTACTCGTCCATCCGTCATCCGGCGCGGCTAGTCCCCGAAACTTGGAATCCACGCGCGAGTATACGTTCGGCGGGGAAAGGGGGGGGGTGCTATGACGTCGGTGTTTCTCTCAAAGAATAAAGGGGGTCAAGCGACTATCAGCCGAGTGCGGAGACTCACCTTCGCTCCCATTCAAAAATAGTAGCAGTCATTATGAAATCGGGCGTTAAAATAAATATGGGTAAAAATAAATGCCGCCGCGCCGACCCCTCCCTCTACCCCCACCCCCTCCTCCACCGCCACGGCAGGAGAAAACATTGAGTGGAGTTAAGTGCACGGTCATGTTGTATATTTGTGCGAGCGGCTGCAGAGAAGAAAGAAACAAAGAGGAAGACGGCGCGAACGAGAGTGAAAAACTCGCATTTTAGAATCGAAGGGCGCGCGAGCGCGGATACGTGAAATTTATTGAAGGTTTGTTGTTTGCGCTTTTCCGTGAGATCGTTATTGTTGTTGTTGTTTTACAATCAGCTGAAAATAAATATCTCCTCGCTAGGGTGATCGTATTATTCCACACTCGTTCCTTCGAAATGGGAAAAATCGTCGGGGCTCGTGTTACCGATCACTACGACCGAAGTTGAAACTTTACCGATCGAGGGAGCACAAGCTGTTACTACTTAACCATGAATATTTACAGCCGTACGTTTTTACGTCCGATCCAGAAATGTATTATTGAATACCCTATATGATTCCTTGAAACTCCCAAAGCAGCGATCGGCAAAAATCGCCGCGAATGCGAAATTACAACTGTGCAAACAGTAGGCGCCTGTTTGCCCCAAATACCGAAAAGCATCCTTGCTCCATCTGCGATAAAACAGCACCCTCGAAAAGAGAGCTTTGAGAGAGAGAGAAAGAGATCATGATCGTCAGCCAGAGGTTGCGGCTTACGCACATACCGGATCGGCAAAAGTGCTCGAAACAAACGATCCCGGTATCTCGAATGTTGGACACAACGGGGGGGGGAGGGGGGAGAGAGCAACCATCACCTCTAAACACCGAATATCGTACGTGCTGACCCACACACGTGAAAAATACGCGTGTAGCATGTATTCAGCATTTTGGCAAACGCGCGCGAGAGAAGAGATCGGTAAGTATAACACTCCGCGGCCCTCCTACTCCTCTTCGTTTTTAGTCAGCGAGACTCCCTCGAGCAAACATATAGAATCGGTAGGTAAAACAAGAAGAACCAAAGTAGGAGGAGGAAAGAGTAGTAGTAGTAGTAGTAGTAGTAGTAGTAGTAGTAGTAGTACACAGAGCGAAAGAGAGAGAGAGAGGAAAGGCTCGCGCACACGTTTGCTCCGGTGGAGACGTTTTTAGACGCCGAGAGGCGTTCGCCACGGCGACGACAACCAAGAGACCACGACGACGACGACGCAGCCACCCAGCCAGTTAGTCGCGCGTGCACCTTGGTGGCCAGCCACCACTACCTGTCTCCCTTTCCCACGTCTCTCCGTTCGTCGAGTTTGTGCTCCCTCCGTCCCACCAAGTGCAATCTCTGACCCAAGTGCGAGAGTTTGTTGTTCTTCCCCGAATCACCGTCAAGTGCCAACGTAGAAGAGGAACCGTGACAATATTGTGTTCCAGCAAGTGTTGCCCGGTTCGTAGTTAGGGACCGATAAAAGTACGCCCAAGGCTCCTTGGCGATGACCCGGTAGTTCTATCACGCGCGCGAATGACCATCCACGGTGGAAGGGAAGCCCGACAGCAGCACGTGCCTAACCGAGCGCCCCGCAACACCTGGAATGCCCATCGGCACCGCTGACCACCTCGACCAACAACAGCCACGTGGGGTGTCGTTATCATTGTCAGCCCTGCCCAGGGAAAGCCTCGAAAGTGGTGCGCGTGGCGAGGCGGGGGCCCGACTGGGAGCCGGCCATGCCGGGCGACAACCGCAGCGGCCGGCGAAAGTCGCGCCGCGACAGCCTAGAGGCCGGAGGGGCCAACAACAACACCACCACGAGCAGCAGCGGTGCGACGCCGTCGCGTTGCACACCGCCCGGCTCGAGGGAGAGGCGCTCGAGCGTCAGGCGGGGCGTCGTTGCCGGCAAGCCCATCAAGGAGCGCTGGCTCTTGACGCGCAAGACATGGCGGGCAATGCAGGACTGCGGCCGCCGGCTCATCCCCGACAGCGTCATAACCCACCACCACCACCAACGCAACCACCAGCAACAAGCTGGAGCCAGTGGTACCACCACCACCAAAACAACTACAATCGGCAAGCCCGAGGACTGCATACCCAAGATCGAGCAGTACTTCCAGGAGGTGTGCTCGCGCGAGTCAAAGTTCCTCCTGTGGCGCAAGGCGTCCTACCCGGGCTCGTTGGGCTTTCGGGCGGCCCGTAGGGGCCGTAGGCACCCGAGCAACAAGCCCGGGGGCAGTTGTAGGCTCCCCAATAACAAGCAGCTCGGTTGCAGCAACTCGGCCGACGAGGCGGAGGACTCGAGGTTGAACCAGGTCGGGCCGCACGGTGGGCTCCCCTCGGCCGGTAAGCTCGATCTCGCCAGGGTCAAGAGGGAGTGGCTCCTCAGCTCCTCCTCTGCTGCCGGCGCTACCGCTACTGCCGCCACCGCGGCAGCCACCGCGGCTATAAGCGGCGCTGGTTGCGCCAGTCCGACGTCGTCGCCGGTACAGGAGCGACGCAGGCAGCCACGCGAGGAGGCCGAGGCTAAGGCGCTCGCGGACATGCTCCAGAAGTACCTGAACATGCAATCGGAGCGCTCCTCGTCGTCGACGGCCGCTGGTGCCTTGACGACAATGACGACGATGCTGCAGCATCAGAGTAGTACGGTGAGCGCGAGCGCTACCTCGTCGACGATGGCCCGGAGTAGCGCGACGACCACGAGGTCGGTCTCGACGGATCACTCGATGGGTAGCGCGGGACTCGCCAAGGAGCCGACCACAGCCATTACGAGCAGCAGCGGCCTCGACTACCAGAAACTGATCGAGAAGCTCGAGCAGCACCTCAACCAAATAATGGCCGAAGGTAGGCGCGAGGCCGAGGCCAGGACCACCACCACCACCACCACCTCATCGTCCTACTCGTCCCACGCCAAGTCAAGGAGCACCACGACCACCAGCGCGTGTAGCGTGCCCAAGATCACGATGCCCTACCAGAGCGACTTTGTCCACAAGTCGCTGCTCGAGACCCTCAGCCGGTACTACAGCAAGTCCCCGAATAGGGAGCACGTTATATCGGACATCCTCACGGACCGCAAGCTCCTGGAGAAGCTCTACTTCGACCTGAGGTGCACGAGGGGCTTCCGCGGGCCCCGGGCCACGGGTGCCTACACCTCGCCCTCGGCCAGGTGGTGGAACCAACAACAACCATCCACGAGGCTCTCCAAGCCACCCCAACAGGACGGGGATGGAGGAAGACCATCATCGACGAGGAGGGATCTGATGGGCTCGCCACCGCCGTTGATCGCAGTGCAGGGCCCAAGCACGGAGCGCGGCCCCATCGACTCGGGGACCCAAACCGAGCCAGTGGCCCGCGAGCTGCTCGACGCTCTGCTCCTCGAGAGGGAGGCCGCGGACCACCAGGCATCCACTCCACCTCCAAACAGGGATCAGCCCCACAAAACGGGGAGGCGGCGCAGCAGCGTGGACAACGACGACGTGTCGCCGTCGGTGAGCGACACGATAAAACGGTACCTGCGTATGGCGCGAAAAAAATCGATGGACTCGGACAAGGCGGACCGATTTAAGCGCGTCAACTACGACCGGAACCTCCGCAACATAAGGCCCAAGGGCGAGACCACGCGGCCGAGCGACCCCGACGACGCCGAGCCCAACACCAAGGCCTGCCAGACGGGGGACGCGTGGCCAGTTGGCTACCGGGAGATGGCCCACCACGAGCCGGGTGAGGTCCTGCTGTTGCAACTGTCGGACGCCGACACGACCTCGCCGGTCAGCAGGAACGCCAGCTCGAGGAGCAGCATGGACGCCTCGGGCCTCGGAAGCGAGGACGCGGCCCCACCCTCGACGCCCTCCAAGCACCAGTCCTTCCTGTCCCACCTCCTCCACGGCTCTTCCTCGTCCTCCTCCTCCCACGGCGCGACCCAGAAGCCCCACTCGGCGCCCGGGTCCCCGGCCATGGCCACCTGTAACACCAACAATAGCAACGGTAATACTGCTGGTGGGGCCTCGGCCGGTGTGATACCGTGTAACGCGGCGATGGTGATGACAGGTGGCGGCGGGGGCGGTGCCATGCAGAAGAGCAAGTCCTCGAGCAGCGTCGTGCACCACGGCAGCCGGCTCGTCGCGAAGAAGATCTGGAAGTCGCGGAGCAAGAGCTCGTCCAGGGCCATCAACCTCGTGTCGACGTGGACGCCACAGGTAAGCGGCCGCTTTTTCCCTCATTGTGTTTCGTCTCAACCAAACCCAAGCTTTTTGGTTTTGGTCTTCTTTTTTTTTTTTTTTTTTTTTTTTACTTTTTTTTTTAAACTGACCCTTTCTAATTAATAGTTAATTCGGAATTTTCATGATNTTTTTTTTTTTTTTTTTTTTTTTTTTTTTTTTTTTTTTTTTTTTTTTTTTTTTTTTTCACATCGAGAAACGCGTTTCCCGATTCGGGAACTTTTTTCCTTTCCTCCTTCGCTCGCCGCGCGCGGAATGCGAGACTCTCTCGATATTCTTGTTTGCGCCTATAAATAGACTCCCCCCCCCTCCCCCTGAAAGTAACAAGCTTCGATGTACGTAGAGCGCGGGGCCAAGACTCGTAAATATTATTACTTGGCCAAATTATTTGGCGCGCCACGCACACGTACACACCTATATGCCAAAACTGGCCCGGGCCGTCTGTATCGTTTTTTCAGCTGCATTATTCTTCGATCGGAAACATTGTTGGTGCGGTGCACACGGAGAGGTGGGGCTGAAAATTCCACCAAAAGACAAACAAGCCCCGCTATGTATGCAAGTATACGGAGGAGATGGAGAGAAAGGCGCCAAGTGTAACTCTCTCCGCGAGAGGCTTCTCTTCCGAGTTCACGTGTTGTAAGACTCGCGCGCGTATGTGTACACCGCAGCTGTTTGTTTATCCCCCCCCCCGTGGGTGGTTTATATCTCGCGCTCGCCGAGCTTCGTTTCCCCCTCGAGTCGGTTTTTTAACGGCTCGTTGATTACACCGAGGAGCGCGCTTTTCTTCAACCACGAAACATTCGGAAGCGGTGCAAAGTGCGGGTCACTCGAGAGCTTTCGATCGAGGATTAAAAAAAAAAGGGGGGTGGGGTGTAGCCCCTTTCTCGCATGGGTGTAAGATTGAGTAACTAGTTGTGGTCTGCTCGTCTGATCTTTGGCATTTGTTTCTTCTTCCCGGTGCTTTTTACGGGCCATCCCGTTTCTTTTTCGAGAGCACGGGGTTTATTTGTTCGGGAAACAACACGGGTTTCGGGAAACGGTCGGTTAGTGGCGGTGGAAAAAGCCCCCGAAGCAATCGGGAAGGGTTGGGGCTAGCTCCGAAAAGTAAAGTCTTTCGTTTCGAGGCCATTGTTGTCACTTGGATTTTATAATCGCCGACTCGGTTCTGAGCACCGCAAAGTGCCGGGCGGTTCGGGGAAGTAAAGTAAAAGGAGACCCATGGCGCGCGGGGGGCTCTCTCTGACGCACTGTGCGCACGTCACGGTTTCGCTCGAGCTGCGAACAATTTAACGCCGCTCGTGGACCGGCAGATTGAATCTTTTTTTTTTTTTTTTTTCACCACCTCTTGTCAATTGGCCGAGATCGGCTGTTAAATCGACGAACCAAAGCAATCTGTTTTGTTTTTTTTTTTTGTTTTTTTTTTTTTCTCACAAACCCTTGCAAGGGGTTTGTTGGAAAGGTCGGCCTTGCGTTGGCCGATTTAGGGCCTCGGAATTTCTTTTTTGGCGCCGACGAAAATAGGCTTGTATAGGTACCTCCGCGACCATCGGCTGTGTAGACGATATTTGGGCGTGTGATCGAGACTGTATGGCGTGGCAGAGCTTATGTTATTTTCTCTCGCGTGCGCGTTCAGTTGAAATTGACTGTGACTAGTTTCTATTTTTTTTTTTTTTTTATAAATCATGAGACCCTGGCCTTGATTTAATAGAGAAAATCTCGTGGGTTTGCGACGAAATTTAAAAACGTCCCAGACGCCGGTGATTTCGTGAAAAAATCCCGTGTATCGACGCCTTGATGGAAAAAAGAAAATGTCACGGTTTATCGAATAATCTATTAGCTTCAAAGTCACGGCATTTTCTTACCAAACAACAGGATAAGCATACATCAGCTATTTTACTTGATGACAAAATTAGAGAATTCTCGAGAACCATTGAAATACAAAAATCACCGGAAAGATCTTGCCGGTATTTGCGATGGAAAAAAAAAACTGGGCACTTGTACCCTTTAGATGAAAAAAAGATTAGCTGTAATCTCTTCCTTCGATCCCCGAGATTTTTTGCTCACTCAAGAGCAGATCGGTTCAGAAGCGAAGAAATCCGCTTTCCGGCTGACTACACATATTAAATTCGCATCGCACAAGAACCCTTTTTTTCCTTCTTCTTTATCTACCGCTGACGCTGACTTTCGCTGACGCTAAGCTCCTCCAACGACCCAATCGAACGGATATCCGTATCTTTATCCGCCAATGGCTCTTAACGAACGTGGCTGTGCTAAAAAACTTTCTTTTTCTTTCTTCTAATCCATACCTTTGCACGATCAATCGAAATAAAAACGAAAACTCCCTAATGAGCAGATTTCGTCAACGAAGCGATCAAATACTATGGATGTACTATCATCATCTTCGTAATCTAACGACGAATCGGCCAAAACTTATAATGACCTCTTGTGTAGAGTTTACACGCGCGTGCACCAGCCGCGCATCAATTAGAGGCGGGAAACTTTGAAGTTAAAGTGAATGCGCGCGAAGGAGAGTATATTTTCCGGGAACCCCCGCTCGGGTGAAATGAATTTTCCGTCGAGCGTTAATTATTTACAACGAAGGGCTCAACCCGTGTCTACGTGTCTATACATATAAATATGGTGGGTGGATTTACTTTGTTGATACAATTTGTAATTAGTTGAACGGCTAAACTATACGGGAGATGAGAAAAAAAAAAAAAAAAAAAACCCTCTCCCCGATGAAATTATTCATAACCCGGTGAGCTTTGGATTATAATGCTTGTTGTTACCCGAAGGCGGTAATTTTAATTGGCACCAGCACGTGTAGAGCTAAGCCCGTGCAACAATAAACACGACAGGGACAACATAATCCCAAAGCTGCTACCGATTTTCCCGTGTGTGTACATCTCTGCTGGCTTACCGAGGGCTGGAGTTGGAGGTATATACATGGCAGTTTCGCGTATGTTATAATAAAGCTTGCAAAGTTTTTGCGTACATGTTTTTGATGGGAAAATTTATACATAAGGCGTTGACGCTAGGCGAGGAATGAATGAGATATCGAGAAGAAAATTACTCGAGATGATCCATTGGAATATCATCTGTGGTGGAGAACCACCTACGGGCGCGCGATTACTTGCAGGACGAGTTGTTCCTCTAAACCCATCGCCTCATTAATTCCAAATGTTTTCGCAATTCAATGCGATTCCAAGCAAATTGTGACCACGCGATTTCACAAGTTATTCCATAGGCTTCTTATTTCAACTCACAGCGGATCATCCCCATCAAAATATAAACTTATTATTGGTTGTAAGTATTCACAGTACAAGTATGAAAATATGTAGTGTACGCTTATCATATTGAAGACAGAATAAAAAAAAAANTTTTTTTTTTTTTTTTATATTTAAGTGTTCTGACCTCTGTTGAGGTATTGACACTAGCTTTATTAAAGTCTTTTGTACATACATTTATACGGTTTATAAACAAGCTGTAATTCACAGTACAAGTATGAAGATATGTAGTGTACGCTTATCATATTGAAGACAGAATAAAAAAAAAAAAACATTACAGCTATACTTTAATATTACAATTAGAAAGAAATTCATGAATAACAATACAGGCTTCGATGATGGGTTTGGCAACTATGCATTCTATGTTAAGGGGTGGAGACAGGCCGATGTTAAACAGTTTTTTTAACATAGAAGATCCATGAACATTATACAGATTACAATTCCAAATTACGTGGTTTAGGTCTTCTTCTTCGTAGCCACACTTACATTTTGGGTCGCTTATTATATTTTTCCGAAATAGAGATTCAGCGAGGCTGTTTTGGTTTTTTTTATAAACCGTATAAATGTATGTACAAAAGACTTTAATAAAGCTAGTGTCAATACCTCAACAGAGGTTAGAACACTTAAATATAAAAAAAAAAAAAAAAGGTTGTAAGTATTGTCGCTCGTGTAACTGTCGCTTCAAGATAAATAAAAAAAAAAAAAAAATATTTCAATCATTCATTGTTGTTCAATGAGATTTGATGTAATATCAACCCTCGGTTTTATGGCTCTCGTTTGGAGTCCTTTAGTGCAACATCTAAAATTTAATCTTAAAATGTACGTTCGCTTACCATATTATAACTTTACTATAACATACCCACTTTATTATAAATGACAACTTTATAAACACCATATGCCTCGCGTGAAAACACAAAGCTATTTATTAATTAAGTCCCAATTTACCGCGCTCGTGTACCGTATGGAACACTGCGTGGGCTCGTGACCCACTAATCCTGTCGATCCCACTTAACACTCCCGAATCTCGTTGCAGGGCAAATGCACGTGGGCCGGCACGAACGGGAGGCGCGTCACTTTGCAGGACACGCCGCTGCGCTCGCTCTCGGAGGTCGAGCGGAAGGTCCTGTGTCGCGTGGCCGTGGCGAAGCTCCAGGCCCTCAACCTCGGCGTGCACATCAGGCCGCCCACCGGTAAGTCCTTTCAATCTTCTAATAATGTTCATATTTTTATTAGGATTAGGAAATTAGTTTTTTTTTTTTTTTTTTTTTTTCACTGTCTCCTGTGTGAATCGGCACACGTGCAAGAATGTGAGGTCAGTGTGGAGGAACGATGAGTAACAATGTGATTTTCGGCTCTTTTCGCTCCTTCCGAGACAGACCGAGTTGTCTAATCATATTTTTTCAGTCGGCTATTTATCGCGCTCTTTGAAAAAGATTTTATTCTATACTCGAGGTTTTTTAAAATCCCATCTCCGTTTGACGGCGCAGCGCGGGGGGCGGAGAAGAGACGAAATTTCGTTTATTACGCGTTTTATCGATCATTTGTGTCTATTTACCCCTGATTTCTTGGATTTTCTTTTTTTCTCTTTTTACTTCCAAAAAAATAAAAATATGATTTGGGTCGAGCAAAGTACGGTAATCGAGGAGTCGCTTTACACGCGGTACAAACATTTTTATTTTTTTTATTTTAAATTTATTTAAAATTATTTTAAATCATCGAGATGATGAATAGCGATGATCTAAAAAGCAAAAGAGAAGGTGGATGAACTCGAAGAAAACAACATTTTTTTCTCCCTCCGCGCGACAGCTCGTTAATATTGCGTGTTTACACTTACCAGCGCCTCGTAACGATACGGGCTAAAACAGAAGCGGTGGCCCGTCAATCTGCCCAAGTGCGCCTCGAATGATTGACGTGTTTGCGCGTGTACAAATAACGAGACAACCAATGCATGAACGAAACTTGCGTTCCATCACCAACTGCGTACGTGTACGAAGAATCGATTGTTTTTCCCACCCGCGCAAAATAAAAAAAAAAAAAGGCGCAACGTGTACAATTTTGTTGTTAGACATGATGCGCGCGTGTTTAATGAGCGCCGATTATCATTGATTTTATAAATACGGACTCGCGTGCGTGTATTAATACGCGTTCGAGCCGAGCCCCGAGCTAAAAATACACCCCCCGCGTACACGCTCAAAAAGCTCGTTCTCGAGAATCGCGGGAGGAAAAAATGGATTTTTTTTTTTTCTTTCTTTCTTTGCCTCCTCCTGGTCTCTGTACATCGTGTATTTACACACACGTGGTGTGAGTTGTCTCGGGAGGAGGGGCGTACGGCTCTTGGGCGCGTTTTATTTTCGAAGCTTAATGATCGAGGGAACGAGGAAAGGGTGGACCCGAAAATTCGGAGCCGAGAAGACACGCGTATACGGAGCATATGTAGGTCAAGTTTTGCATTTACGTAGGCAACGACCCCCCCTATCTCTCGCGCGAGTTGTGCACTTTTTCGCGTCCCTCGCTGGCTTTTTCGCGATAAATACTCGCGCGTCTTTGATCTTTTCCTTCTTTTTTTTTTCTTTTCGTTTTGTTTTGTTTTGTTTTCCTTCGTTGAAAAACACCGAGGACCGCGGATACGCGATTTGGACATAAGTAGCACAAGTACGAGGAAAAATAGGTTTACGAGTCTCTCGCGTTGGGACCTAGTAGAGAACACTTGCGCAGATTTACGGCGTCTTCTCTTAATTTACGAACGACCGTTTGGGGTTTTTTTTACGCTCGCAAGATATAACGTGTATATGTATATAAGTGACATAATTTTTTTTTTTTTTTTTCGTGTTTTTCAGAATCCCTGAGTGGCGGTTCGGTCACAGCAAAGCCGAAGAGGCGAGCCTATCTGCTCAAAAGGAAGGCGCTGACGACGGGCTTCTTCACGGACAGCAAATCCAAGGAGGACAAGGAGAAAGGTTTGTTATCAAAGAACAACTATACATATACTCTCATCGTCTTTTTAGATCTGTTATACAACACCGTTTGACAAATCACTATGATCGGTGTAAAAATTATTGCAAGAAAATCTAAATACGCATAGAAAAAAAAAAAAAAAAGAAAAAAAAATGAGGAGAAAGTGAAGGTAGTGGGCATACAAGTGACCTCGACCCAAGTGGGGAGACCGGGCCAAAAGTGCTCGAAACGAGAAATTAAACACACAGAGCGGCCGACCGCAAAGCTGCTGTTGTGTCTGACGGAATTTGGTCTGTTACTACTTACGTGACTCAACTCAGCAGGTGAACAGCGTGAGAAAAACGACGGCCATTCGTTTAACGGTCCTCCAACCTGTTTTTTTTTTTTTTTTTTTTAAATAAAATTACTCCTTTGAGTGTATAATATATTATGTCGTATCAACAAATTCGATAACAACTTGGGAGATCAGTCGCTTTTTTGCGCAAATACAAAAAGCTTTGAAACACTACACTGAAAAGAATATGCACATAAAAATATTATTTACAAAGTATACATTCGTGTAAAACATAAAATCAAACCAGTCCACTATAGCGAAGCCAGTCACACACGCACACACGCACGACGGGTTACTCAGCGCTCGACTAACCAATTGGTGGGAATTTCGCAAGTTAATTATTTCAAAGTGTACCCGGAGTGTCTACATGTACGTGCAGTCTCGAATGGTCAAATTGGCCCGCAAAAACGACGGGCACGGCTTAGCGAGCGAGCTACTCGGGCGCGCTAATTGGAGCTTGCAAGCGCGTTTCGAGGGCGGACCCTTTTTTCCCTCCTCTCGTTCATTTTCATCGCATTTTTACAATGTATACATTTATCTAAACTCCCTCGGAAGATCGGGCTATCGCGAACAATCGAGTCTCACACAAATAGAGCACATAAGCTAAACGTGCAATCTTCTCTCGGGGGGGGGGGGGTAAACAAAAGTTACAAAACTACTATTTCGCGAGCTTCTCCAACCAAGAGATTTTCCCGTAGGAAGTAAGTAAGCACTCCCATTAAAGATGATGTTTGAAATGCACATGCAAAGAGGTTGTATACCGCACCCCTTCGGCCTCTTGCTCCGCGCTCCAGCCCCAATATTCGTGCAGCTTTAATAGCCACCCTCGATGCAGGTACGTCGGGCTTACAACAGTCGCTGCTAAAACGCGTGCAAATTGAAATCCCCCGCGCTACGTATAATTACGCTCTGGTTCATTGCAGCTATTTGTAATGGGCGACACTCTCTCTCTGCGATAGCGAAGGCTATGCATGCAAGCTCACGGAGTAATACAATTACAGCGTCGGATACGGCTGGGCCAACCTCTCGTTATCGCTGTCCCACTGCTATATGTGTACTGTGTATGCCCGCCTAAACTCCCTATCTCGCGCTATATTGAATTTCGCGCGCCAACCCGTACACGAATACGTGCGCGCGCGAGTATGTAACCGCACGTCCGGCGTGCTTTGGAACTTGATTAGCGAGACGTGGCCTTTTGATTTTGGCAGTGGATCGCGTGAATTATTGGGGTTTACCCGAGTGCGGGCGTCGTTTTGCAGTAACGCGGAAATGTACCTCATCCAAGGGGTTCCCTACCGTTGTTTTTATTGTTTTTATCTATATACACCTCCTTGCGTGTGTTTGCCGATACGCCGATATTTGGGATATTTGGGCCGCGTACCCGCACAGCCGCGTGTTTTTTCAAAGAGCCAGGGCGGTTTTCAGCGCTCAATTTTTCATCCACTCCGTGCTCTCTCAATGTCATGACAGTTGATGCGGGAGGAGGCGATGGTATTTTCGGATCTCCGATGGAAAAAGCTGCCCGTTCTATTTTCGGGACTCCCCCCACCCCCGCACATCCATCTTATTCAACTCGCGTGTATGTATATGTACGCGTATATCCCACGCACTTTGCTTTCGTGGTTATTGCGTTTTTGGTGAAAAACCACGAGGGTTGCGACACGGGGTTTAATAACACCGCGGAGGGTGAAATGAGCTGGTTTTGGTCTTGACTCGAGTGGGGACCGAGTGCGGTGGGATATTAAAGCTGTTCGCCTTGTTTTAATGTTAAAAGGACACGTTTTGACCGAGTTGCGCGACAAAATTCGGTGATTCCCCCCACACACGTGTCTGAATTTGCTTTTGGAATCTCGGCTTTTAGCTCTTAGAGATATTCGCGCGTCACCGCGTAAATCTCGAGGTAAATTGATATTTTTCCTCGCGTCACGAACCATCACACCCTGCAAACGCTACAAAACTCATTAAAATTCCGTCGCGCGTGGCAATAATTTTACGTGGAAGATGATGTTGTCACCTGAAATTTTAAATGGGCAAGAATAATAATGAATAATGTTTTGTCCTCAGAATCGAGCGGTGGCCTCGTCTTTGGCATTTCACTGTCGCAGTGCCTGGAGAACGACAGGCTGGCCAGGATAGCCGCGGGCGAGATTGTCGACGTGGGCTGCCTGAGCCGGAACAGCAGGCACGGGAGCAGGACGAGCTTCACGAGCCTCATCGAGACCACCACAGCCTCGAAAACGGATGAGGTAAGCTATGCGTGACATTTTAGTTATTTCCGGGGGAGGGGGGATACACCCAGCCTTGCACTTGCGTTGTTAAGGAAGTATTTCCCCCGAATTTTTTTTTTTTTTTCGTAAGTGGATCGAGTAAAATTGATAATTTGCTCGTTCGTGTGCGCGAAAAAAAAAAGAGCTCCGATAGAGAGGGATCTCTCGCGTCTCTGGCGTCCCGCTAAAAGTAGCTTCGCTTCTCGGAAACCGCGAGCCCAATATTTCGGGAACACCCGGTCTAAAAAACGCCGATAAACGCCCTCCCCCGAACGCAACAACAAACTCTCGAAAAGACACGCGCGCGCGCGCGTTCCTGCGGGCACTAAAAAGTCTATTTAAAAAACCACCCGTACTCTGTAGCTTCGCGAAGGAAAAAAAAAAAAAAAAAAAAAAAAAAGTTGGAGAAGCCGAGAGACACGTGCCACCTCAGACTCGCCGTACGTTACCTACGGGCGCAAAAGGAACAGCTCGAGGGTCCTGGTTCGTCACGCGTTGGCTAAACGTCACGGGCGACGACGACGCGCCGAGTGTCATCGGTGACGACACACACACTCACCCCGTGTCTTCTTCTATTGTGCGCTATGCAGCCACCCCGACCGGGATACATATAATCCTGGATGGGACTCGGGTGTGGGTTTTATAGATCGATCATGATGCGTCGCGTACTTCTTTGCTCGTTGACCGATGTTTATATATTTACCCCCATCCCCATAGGCCATCTTTTCTTTACTTACTCGATTGTACAAGACTCGATCAGCCAAGTGCAGGAACTTCCAAGCGACGATGCGCAATGGTTGTCCCCAACTAATTATCTTTTGTTTCCCGAGCTTGCAAGCTCTACGTTTTGCACCACGAAATTTTAGTTACAAGATAGGGGTGTGCATTATTTGTAAACTGTACGTTAGCTCGATAGGATTCCCTCGAGAGAGGAGAGATAATTTACTTTTTCGATGAGAGTACACGCTTGTATTCATCAATTGCGTTATTTTATTAATTTTTTTTTTCTCCGTAATTGATGTACAACTCCAAGTTTGCCGATCTATATACCTTCGTCTATAACTCAACGAAAAATCGTATCAAAAGCTAATATGCAGCCAAAAAATTGCAAAGGATTATTCCAATAAAAGGCGCATCTGTTTCTTAGCGTCATTTCTCTTCTTTTTGTCCCCCTTCCGCTTGTTTGCTCAACTTTTCTACTATCGGCAGGTTGGGAACTTTTTCCCCGCATACCCTTTAAAAAAACGACTGCATCTCATAATTTCTTCGTACCATTTATCTCGTAAGCAAGAAAAAAAAAGAACCCCCAAGAAATATCGCTCGTTAGCGAAACAAAAACAAGGACTCAAAAAAAAAAAAAAAAAAAAAATGATAACATCCATGGAAAAAATTTCCGTGTAACGAATTGTATAAGCTCGTAACAGTAGTGCTTGATTTATAAACTTTCCGTAACGAGAGCCACTCCCGTGAATAGAAAGCCAAATCCAGATTACAGTAAAGCATCAAGTGTCCCAAAAACGCGTGGGTAGGGTGTATATTCTCGAGGAGCTCGGAATTCCCGTCCATTTCAATTACACGCACCAGGCAAACAGCGAGTCTTGCAACTCGAATCATTTGAAAATCTGTATATATACAGCGCGTACAACTGAATTGTTATTGCTGCCCCCACCCTCCAGCCGGCGCGTGGCTCAGGGTCCGAAGAAGAAGAAGCGCTCGAAATAATAACATTCCGCTGCGTCCGCTGCTCGGAAAATAAGACAGACGGACGGCGTTGAAAATAATGGAAAGTTTCCCCACCCTTTCCTATCTCCGTTTGCCGGCGTACAAGGGAGATTTTCGTGCTCTGATAAGTAAGAGAAAGAAAAACAAGAGTGACTCGGTTAGGATATCCGGAGAATCGTCAGACAGGTTCACCGAACGGGTAATCCGACGGATTCTCGGTGGTAGATGCGCTTGTATAGATTTCACCTTTTTTTTCGAAGCAAAGTCGATCTTGGCCCGCTTGATTGCAGTGTCGTTTCCTCTTTGCTTGACCCTTCGTCCATCTCTATTGCTTTCTTTTATTTTTATTATCTTTTTTTTTTTTTGTCTTTTCGGTCAACGTCCAACGGAATTGATTTTTATCGATGACAGTGGCGTAAAGCAACTCGTCTGCCGATGCCTATTGGGTCATACGTAATTTAATTGAGGACACGTCGCGGTATAACGTGAAATTGCTTTGTAGGAAAAAGAATGGCTTCTCCTGACTTTGCGCGTAATAAAAATCACGAATATGGCCCTTGCGGTGCCGTTTTTTCCGAATCGGCAAAAAAAAAAAAAAAAAAAAAAACAGCCATCCCTCAAAATACCTATTTCCTACGATTCTTCCAGCTGTTACACGCTCATTTACGTCCTCGAAATTCTCGATGTACACGCGCACGCCGAGCGCCTGGTGCAGTTGTGGTCGGATCCTCCCCCTAAAAAGACCGCCACAACCAGCGGCAGCTCGGTCACACCTGCGACACTTCTCCCTTGTCCCCCTCAAACTACGTCACGCGAGCCAAGCCGAAATGACGTCACGAGGTTGGCTCGTCGGGCCTATAGCCGTGATACGCCGAGGGGCGCGAGAATAGACGCCGGGGTCGGGTGGTGGGTATGTATATGTGGCGCGCGGTGCAAGTGTACCTATGTACATATACATACATATAATAAGAGACGGCGACGGTGGACGGAGCCGCTAATTTCGGACCCGCGGATTAATTGAGATCGCGCAATTTTCGCAATGGTCTTTATATTTAACGCCCGTGCCTCTCGCGGGTTGCCGGAAGGCGACGCCAGGGGGGGAGGATCATTGCATACCTCGTATCGATGCCCTTCAAGGGGGTTGGATTTTTTTTTTTTTTTTTTTGCAATGGGACCGTTGTAATTTTTTAAGGTCTTTTAGGCGTATGTTTTATCGAGTTTTAATTTAAATTGATCGCAGGGACAATTACCCCTCGTTCGACTGCATCTCGATCACACGTATACCATGTTTCAACACCATCGCGGTACATTGACCTTGATTGAAAAATATTTTTTTTTTTTTTTTTCTCTATAGGGTGGCTCCTGCGAGTCGTTGTCGTCGAAGGCGGGCAGTGGAGCCCTGACGAGCAGCGACTCCGGGGTACTGGGCGAACTGAGCGACAGCCTGAGTCCACCGGCCGAGTTCGACGCGGTGCCGATCGTGGTGAAGCAGTGCATCCGACACCTCGAGAACACGGGGCTGAGGACCCTCGGGATATTTCGGGTCTCGCCGTCGAAGAAGCGCGTCAGGCAGCTCAGGGAGGACTGGGACTGCGGGAGAGAGACCAAAATCGGACCCGACCAGTGTCCCCACGACGTCGCCGCCCTGCTCAAAGAGTACTTTCGGGACCTGCCGGATCCCCTGCTCTGCAGGGACCTCTACCAAGCATTCGTGCACACGCAAAGTGAGTATGATATTCATTTGTAGTACTCACATGGATTTTTTTTTTTTTTTTGCTCAAACATTGTGGAGCCTAAATCTCAGTGTAATCCCGAGAGCAGAAAATACGTTGTAAATGAAATTGGAGGAATAATAATACTCGTTGCTTCGCGAAAAAAAAAGGAGAAAAAAAATTAATAGTCGTATTCCACGGCTCATAGGTATAGCTCATATTCTCGTGGGAGTCAAAACAAGAAATCACGTCACGCGTGGTATTGAATTTTTTTTTTTTTTTTCCTTCTTCTACTCAACGGTCCACGGCCACCGCACGCGTTTTCACGTGTATCATTTGTACAAACACCGTATATTTATTTATACACCCAAGCTCGGAGAGAATCTGACATGTTAATCCCGCGGGGATTCGCTTTGGAGGCCGAAACCGAACGAAACACGCGATAGCCCGTGTCGCGAGTTAGACGAGGCTTTACGTGCTGAAGCGCGCACGTACGCCGGCTTTAGATCCCTGACTCTCGCAGTAATGTTTTTCATTCCCAGTGATTCCCGCAAAAAATCGCAACCCTACCAGAAAAAAAAAAAAAAAAAAAAAAACACCAACATGCTTCGCAGAAATCCGCAACAGACGGCTACAGCAAGAGGCCCTGCAGCACCTGATCCAGCTACTGCCGACGCCGAACCGTGAGACCCTCTACGCCCTGCTAAATTTTCTGAGCGAGGTGGCGGCCAACAGCGAGGACCGCAAGCCCGAGGATGGCGGCGAATGGCTCAGCGGCAACAAAATGGACACGACGAACCTCGCCACTGTGAGTCCCACCAAAAAATACTATTTTTTTTTTTTACCCCCAACATCTTCACCCACTCACTGTCCCATCTGTCTGCTGTCCAAAAAGGTATTCGCACCAAACATCCTCCACTGCGTGAAACCAGGCCAAACGCGCTCCGAACTCTCGGCGGAGAGAGCCGAGGAGCGAATAGACGTGATAAACGTCGTCCGAGCCCTGCTGGAGCACGTGAACGAGCTCTTCATCCTCCCGGCCGCTCTCCTGGACGAGCTCTACCTCCACATGATGGACAGCCACCCTGCCGAGCTCGACGTCGCCCTATCGCGACGGGTAGTCGAAGAGTAAGTTGTACGAACGACAGGTGTACATAAATATATAGGCATACGAGACTCCATGGAGCGGTTGTTGCAGGGTAGCGAACGTCGACGACGTCGAGCTGTGCTGCAGCGAGACGGAGAACTACTCGGTCGACGAGAACGTGTCGCCCACCTCGCCCGTGACCCCCACGGCCGGTGGCAACGCAACGACACCCGGCACTCGGAAGCTGTACTCGAGGGAGGAGTGCCTCCACCAGTCGGCCGGCGTTGGGGGTGACATTGGCCCGAAGCCCCGGAGGCCCAAGAGGCCAACCACGAGGCGAAAGGACGAGTCCTCGACGACGACGCGCAGCAACAGCATCGACAGCGGCTCCAGCGAGGACCCGCCCGTTGACCCCAGGTACAAGGCTGCCAACAACTCGCCGATGGTGATAACGGCCAGTCTGACGATACCCATGTCGGGGGCGTTCACGTTGAACCTCGACGACCCGGACATACCGTTCATCGAGGACTCGGCCGGCCAGCAGCAAAACAGACAGCCAGCCCCGCAGCCCAACGCCCCGCCCCGCAGACAAAGGCAGCGATCGGTCTCCGGGAGCGAAGGTAAGGCTTAAAAATATCGACAACAATGTACGTCGGTAAAACAACCCATGCCGATCTGTTGGGCACCAGGTGGTGGTGGTGGTGGGAGGCACGGTAGCGACAGCGCGGTCGGTTCGTCGGCCACGTTGTCGGGGGATCAGGCACCGAGCTCGCCGGCCTCGTGGGCCTCCTCGCCGCCCGCGAGCCCCGACAGCGCGGTCACCGCCGTGTCCTACATACCGGACCAGCCCCAGCTCCAGAGGGTCTCGTTCACGACCTCCAGCGAGATAACCCGGCAGATCGCGAGATCGACCAGCCAGCAGGACGCTACCAAGCCCGCGACCCCGGCTCACACGCCCAGTATCACCAGCATCGGTGGCGCCGTCATGAGGTGAGTGCCGGTCAGAGGGGGTGAGTTGGTTGATGGGGGAGATTGACCGATCGTGTGATTGTCAAAAAAAAAAAAAAAAAACAGGTCAAAGACCGCGGATATCGAAAGGATGATACAGATTAGCCGGGCGGAGCAGCAGCCGGGCGTCGGTGGTAAGCAGTCGGTGCAGGGGAGCACGGGCCTCCAGCAGGACAGTAAAAAATACACGAAGCGCCGGTACACGGACTCGAGGCATCAGACGCGCCACATACCCGACGCCGAGAGTCTAGCCGGTAACGTGCCGTCGGCCACGAGTTTGGCGTCGAGGCTGACTTCGGTGCTGCATCACGGTAACAATAATAGTTCCTCGTCAGCGTCATCGGGGACTGGTGGTGGGGGTGTCTCGGTGGCGAGGACCACTCAGCAGCCGGTGTGGAAGAGGAGGGAACTGATATCGAGTGCGCCCAAGGAGCGAGGCAGGTTTTTCTAGAGGAGGAGACTCTGTTTTACCCGCACGTGTGTATTTCTAGGGGATCCGGGTCGTGTATAGGCGAACATTGCTTTCGATACGCACGCGTCACTCAAAAACGTCTTCCAAATACTATATGTGTGTGTGCCTTACTCGGGCGTGATACTCGCACGTGGTACTTGCGTGATTTCTTTGTTTTTCATCATCGTTGTATTTTATTTTTGTTTATATGGGGGGTTGTTTTTTTTTTTCGTTGGCCGGGAAAGAAATGAGGATGGGAATATGATTGCTACGAAAAAAAATCAGGGACACAGCTTCATTGTAAATATAGTCCTACTCTGTGTACAGTGATTTTTAAAGAAACAAGAGGTATTTATTTCAATTTTATTATTGTCGTTATGATTATGATTATCGTATACCTGATTGTTATATTTCTATTTTTGAATATTTTAATATTGCAAATTTTATCTCGCAAAGTTCGATTGTGCTCGAAGCTAAAAAAACAAATTGGAAATCGAGCGAACAAATAAGTCAAGTGTATATTATTTAAGAGAAAGATACGATGCTCAAAGTGTCATGCGAGCGGATCCTATTATTTTTTTTTTTTTTTTTTTCCAACACTTGATCGATCGTTACACGATTACGCACGTTTGAATTACAACAGTTTATTCGGCATCGCCACAACGTCGTTTTTTGTATGTCATGAAAACGCGTTTTTAAGAAACATGGGTTTCTTTCATCACATCGAATTGAACATGTCGATTATTGTTATATCATTAATATTTTGAAAAATAAATTGATTCACTATTTTTATACTTAAACGTTGAATTTATTGCCAAATACCATCACCCTACTTAATTTAATTATTTATTTTAGCACCAAACAAAATGCAATATCATAGATTCGTTCAAGCATAATTTCATTATTTGGGCTTAGAGTCACGTTTAAAATAAAATGATTGATACAACCATAAAAGTTACTGACTAGCTTTTTTCATCTCCAAACATTTTTCTTCCAGTTCTCCCAAAAAAGGCCTGCATAGATTTATCTTTGAAACTCTTCAACTTTTACTTGTAGAGACAGTGCAAAAGTGGTAGAGTATCTCCTGGTGGCCCGCATAAAAATACAACTCACTGCCTAAAGATTAAACGTAAATTAATATAAATATTTTTAATACTAGTTTTTTTGTTAAACAACAAATATTTAGTAAATAATATAGGTACTTCTTCATGGTTATATTATGAAATAAATTATATCGTCTTCCATCCTTGGACGTACAATATTATAATAATTGTTATTAATTAATTTTTTAATACTTTTGTCAGCTTATATGTACAGAAGAATAAAACACAGTATTATATCTTTGCAGACATTTATTGCATCTTTTGCAGACGAGTTTGACTTCAGCGTCATGCAAAAGTCACTACAACGTTTTTAGAAAACAATTTGATAACTTACAATTCTCGTAAAATCTATATATATATAGACTATAAATCAATTTGTATTAGAAAAAATGTGTATTTACAGGATTTTATAAAGTCACTCTCACTATTTTAATATCTCACTCTCACGCACTTTGACATTTGTCACTGCAAGGCATTAAAACGTAATACTATTCTTGAAAATTTTCTTGGTCACTGTAAACTATAAAGTAATTGGAGAAAAAATACAAAGATAGGAAAAAAATTTAATATTAGAAAGCTAAAAAAAGCTTTATCAAAAAATACTAAGAAGCAAAGTCTTTTGGAATGTAATAGCTGGACGGACGATTGTGAAAGTTATTCTTAAAAGTAGTGAATAATCATCGTCTACGAATTATAAAAAGAGGAATCATCTTTCAAGAATACGATTTTTAAATAATACAAATTACAATAACTCTTTTCGAGGCCGGCTCTAAAAAATTTTCTCGTTTTTTTCGTCGATTTGGTTTCTATCGCAAATTTCACTTTTCGTTACGCGAATTTCAATCAGATAATACAACAATAAAGAATAAAATTAATAATAAAATATTAATGATCATCGCTTAAAATATACATAAATTAATTATTACGAACTAAAAAATAACTATTTGGACGGGATCGTATAAGGGCCGAACTGTCATATAATGGACATTTGACAGCTCGTATACATCGTTTAAATAATTACATGTAAGTTTGTACCTAAATGCCACTTGTGCGTGCGTCTAATAAAATATGTAAACCTCAACTCTTCATGAAATGACTAAAAATATCAATATAGGTTTTTCTGCTTTTTAAAATATTAAATATGCAAGATAAATTTCTTAATGTACAAATAATAATACACATATATTTCTCTGTGGTTGTGGTTTTTAAGAAAAGTAGCTGCCTTAGATGGGCTGGACGGAAACGTTTCCGTTTATAAGTATTATCATTTTTCATGATACTAATAAATATTTGTGCTGCCATTAATACGAAGATGATATGTAAAATATTACGTTTATGTTTTATGGATCTATAAAGATGTTTCGAGACATGGCATATTTACACGCTGATAATGTGATCCTTCGAATAATTATAGAAAAGATTTTTTGTTTTCGAAAAGACACATCGCTCGCAAGGCTTTTAGTATTAATCTTTCGAAAGGCAATGGTTCACGCACTATAAAGAGTTTCGTTTGTTTCTCGATACAAACATTACGGCTCAAGACAAATTAAAAATTTTTTTTTATGTGAAGCTAAAATACAAAAAATGTGTTTTCAAATCAAGCAACGCTGCTACAAAAACGGTATTTTTGATGTACTACACATTTTTTTTTTTCGATTATAAATATATTATTACCAAACACATTACTTTTCAGCGAGAATTCGTTTAAATTCGAGATTCATAATACTTATACTTTTCGAATCACTTGCTAAAATACACATCAAGACTCAACAACAAAAGTGTTTCAACTATAAAATTAACAACAAGCAATTTCGCTCAAAAAAGTGTTCGATGTATTTAAACGGATAAAGTAAACTCGCGTGCATTAGAGTACGTAACGGACGGTATAAATACTTTACGCATAAAAGTTCGAGCTAAGGCACGGTCACGTATACATAATACATATTAGCATTCTCGTATACATGTGCACACGAATCGAAGCGTCGGATGATAAATTTTTAACGCCCCCCCAAACTCCCCTTCGATCGATAACAGGTGGGCTTACAGCTTAATCGTAATATCGATTGGAAAGACATTTAATTTATTATATTTATTTCCATGCTCGACCAAGAGGCTCGACGCACCACGCGACTCATTCGAAATAATACACCTACGTTGCAACATCGATACCTTTGACCCACCTCGTCAAACCTTCCCGTAATTTGATCAACCCCGCACACCATACAAAAATATATATATTCGACACACGCGTCATCACGCAATAGCAAGTCCAACAATGCATACACACCACTCAGAGAAAAAAAAAAAAAACAAAAAAACAAAATTATGATTCATCTTTATCACCCGTGCTGTCACTGTAACTGCGACGACGACGATGACGACGCCGACGGTCCTCATAGCGTCATACTTCCGTGGAGTGGGTCTGTATGCGTACTTTTTTCTGCGATCCGTTTCTCTGGAGCGTGGGACTGTTTGTCGCAAAGCCTGGGTTCTGGATGCCCAGGGGCTTGGGTTTCTTCAGTGAGCTGCGTAGGGGTGAGGCGGTGCTCACGGCGCTCCCTGACGTTGCGACGCTTGCCATGGAGCCATTGCCCGACGTGCCCGAGGCGTACGGCTTGCCACTGGCGTCTGTCATCGAGATGCTGTTACCTGAGGACAAATATTTGGTAGATGATTAACTTTTCAGTATGTACGAAGAGTCTATAATTTTTTTTTTTTTTTTTTTTGTGCTCTACGCACTGTAAAAAGTGGTGTAAGAAGTTTATAAAACGTTGTGTCAAGTATTTTAGGAAAGTGTTTCAAGGGATGAGCTATGAGGAAGTAGTAACAGCCAATATTGATCGGACGTTCATCTAACACGTATTTACTATGAGAAAATGTTATTTAAATTTTTATTATTCAGCATCATATTTCAAATATTTTTTGTAAGATTTATTTCCAGGTGTGTACTACTGATTTAAAACAATAAGTAGTCACAGTCGATATTGGTAAGACGCCTTATTACGTTTGATTTGCAGCGTTTTAGAGAATTTCCCGTCGTTATCATTTATGCAACATCATGTAGGTTGAAAAATAAAAACAGTTTTTTTAGGAAAAGATTTTAAGAGATAAGATATAAGTAAGTAGTAACAGCCAATATTGTCCAGACGCCCATTTAACACTTATTTACTTTTCGGAAAATTCATCAAAATTTTGGTAGTATAATATCATATGGTTTCGTTGATTTTTTGTAAAGTTTTTTGCAGGTATGTACTACTGATTAGAAAACCAAAAGTAGCCACAGTCAATACCAGTAAGACGATTTGTTACATTTGATTTGCAGCGTTTTAGAAAATTTTCTTTCCTTATCATTTATGCAACATCATGTAGATTTATAAATAAATACAGTTTTTTTAGGAAAAGATTTTGAGGGATAAGATTTAAGTAAGTAGTAACAGCCAATATTGGCCAGACGTCCTTTCAATACGTATGTAAAAATAAATACATTTCTTTAAATTTGACGAAAATTTTAATGAATTAGTGTCCTGTAATTTTATATATTATTTGGGAGGGTGTTTCTAGGGCTGTACTACTTATTAAAATCAGTGAGTAGTCACAGTCGATATTGGTAAGACGTCCTTTAATGATAATAGTTATAGTGAATGTTTTTGGATTTTTTTAACGATTGAATAACACATAATTTTATAAGCAAAAATCGTTTATTGGAAACTAAAATTGACGAATGAGTTACATTTAGTAGATACAGCCGATATTGGTTAGACGATCTTTTACATGAAGTTTTAGAGAATCTTTCGTAGATTTAGTTTATATAATGTATCTTAATTTTCTGAATAAGAGTGTTTTTTAGAAAAGGGTTTCAAAAGATTTTAAAAGATCTATAAGTAGGCAGTAACAGTCAATATTAGTCAGACGCCTTTTTAATGATTTTAACAATATTTCAGATAATTACTTTGAATAGTTTAATATATTTTATCACGCAATATTGAAAATTAACATAGTTTTTGGGACAAAAATATTAAAAGTCAGGCTACAGTAAATAGTTACCACTGAGAGAAAAAATTATAAAAAAGACTAGGATGAATGATTATCTGCCACTATTCCGGAATCTACAGACTTTTTATTGTTTATACATCGTATAGTTAGTGCAGTAATTATAAATGTTTGCACAGTATAAATTACTATCTAACGTCATACAAACATTAAATTGTTATAAGTAAACAGTCTCTAAACGGTGCAATATTACTAAATTACCAGCAGGCACTATTGGCCAGACATCCTTACACATAGGTAACCGAAGAAATTGTTGTAGTTTTAGTTTTAAAACGTCATATGATTTCGGAAAACAATATCAAGGGGTCAACCAGCGTAAGTAGAAATAGTCAGTATTGGTCAGACGAACTGTCATAAATTATAACAGCTTTCCAGAGGATTTTCTGTAGCTTTTTACTTAAATGTAACCACGTACTTTTTATAAATCATCATAGTTCATTGAAAATGAAATCATGGGGTAAGCTACAATCAGTAGTCACAGCTAATGTTGATTGAACGTCCTTTTATAGGTGATTACGGCATTTAAGAGGATTTTCCGTAGTTTTTGTTTAAACAATATCACATCATTTTATAAATAAAAGTCGTTTTCCGGAAAAAGGCATCGAGAGGTAAGCCATAGTGAATAGTGACAGACGATAATGGTCAGACTCCTTTTCATGGATATTTATCTGTAGACAACTGGCCGAATGACTATAGTGGCTTGTTAACTGAATTTTTGATTTAACTATTAGGTAGAAACACAAGGTTCGTAAATTGGTAAGTCGACGCAAGATCCATGGGTTTAACACTATCTTAAATTCCGTAGACCCTGTACCACGAGTACCGTATCGAGAGAAAAGACCACCTACGTGTTATCTCGTGCGCGCACACCTGCATACAATACAATTTAACTACAGCACGCCGGACGGTCCGAATGAGCGCGAGGAAATTGCACGTAGCCGTCGAGCTGGAGAATTTACGGGATAAGTATATGCGCTAGATGTGATGGTTCCACGCGCTTAATAGTACCGGCAATAATGACATTAGCTCGACGCGCGCGTACGCGTGCACTTGAATTTACGAACGAAGGATGATTAGGTCGGGTATGAGTGTATTTGTGCGCGTGCGTGTGAGTGTAGAGGTAATACGGGCACTTTGCGTCGTGCTTGCAGTGTATACGATATGCACGAGTGTACGTTGTATTATATATTATGGTACCTATATCTGTTTTGATGGATGTTGCGTGCGGAATCGGAGGTTGTAGTTTAATGAGCGCGTGTATTTTTGAAAAACAATATTCCTTGCTATCGGTACATTATTTGTTGTTGTTTTTTTTTTGTCCACCCCTACGAAATTTACGGCGTTGTTAGATAAAAGAGGTGCCGATGCGGGGTCGTTTTTCCGTGGCGATCGAAAAATCGACTCTCCGAGCGCTATCGCCGTAATTAGAAACTCAAACGGAAAATGTATACATACGACGAGGCGCGAGATGAATCAAGTTTAATGTATTCCACGACTGTAAAAGTACACACGCGAGTTAATTAGCGTTTACTCCCATGCGTTTGTGCTCGTACAAACGCTTCAGCTGCAAACTACTTAGGTTATAGGTTCGCGTGGCGTTTATTTTTGCTTTGAGAAGCACGTCAGTGGGAGATGAGTAAGAAGCGAGCAACTTATCATCGCCTTACCGAGAAATTGGCGTGCACTTCTTCAAGATTTATTACATCGTGGTTCCAAGAGCAACTTTGTTGTTTTACTCGATTTACCGCGTTTGTCGAATAAATCATGAATTCCAATGTAAATAAAACAAACAAAAATAGCCAAGACCTCGCAATGGCGTATAATCCGGGAATACCTGTACTCCCACTCTCGTGGAGGGGCGACAGCCCGGCTAAGTGCACGTCGTCCCGGCCAAATCAAAAGTGACGTGCGAGAGCAATTAAGCCCTCGGGCGTACGTGCGCCACGGAGAGTGCGGGCAAATAGCCTCGGGCGGATTTCGGTGTACCGCGTGTGTATACACCGAGCGGGCTCGTCCGTGCGTGTAACGAATTTTCCGCGTAACAAGGACCCCTCGTGCAACACCCCCCCTCCCCCCCCATGCAATTAATGTCACGCGTCCAAGTTATCCTGTAAGTGTACTTCGGAGGGTATGTCACACGTACCGAAGCTCGTACATTTCACATCGGTCATTTTACTCGTTTGGGGGTATTTTTGGAAACAAATATCGATACGACATCGACGTTTAGGGAAATCATAGAGTGGACAAACAAACAAATGGAATAAGCAAAGGGGGAGAAGCAACGCGATGCTTGCCCACGCGTGTGTGTGTTTCTCTTGTGGCTAGTCGTCATTGACACGATTGTGCTCGCGGGGCGATTAACGTCAATGTCGTGACAGCTGGCGTATGGCATAACACAGGACGTGTAGGTACGACGTGTATACGTGACACGTTTTATTATATACACACACGTGCAAAGTTGTATCGCGCGTTTTTTTTTTTTTTTCTTTTTTTTTTTCATCAATGGCGAGGCGCTTTGATTATGCTGATTGCGCGAAACGCGATCGAGGATGCAGTTTGTTTGCACGGACGTCTAGGTCTGAGGATTCGTCTCGCCATCTCTTCCTGCTTTTTTTTCAAGGTTCATCCAGTACGACTTTTTTTTTTTTATTAATACAACGGGTTTAAAATGGTCACGTCATAAGCGTTTCTTCGAGGAAAAAAATAATATTATTCCTTTGTGGGCATAAATTACCTAATTTAGCTACACACTTTTTCCTCTTGACCATTTGTGTCCGGTAAAAAAGACGAGGGCAATTACATATTTTTTGTTATCGTTCACCAACCTAACACATATTATTCCAGCTCACGTGCACCTTGGCATTATATAGTAACTGACTGCAACGAGCGCTTTTTACCTCGACGATTTGCAATCACGGCAAACAACTAGTACACGAGGGAGTTTGAGTCGATTAAAAAAAAAAAGAAAAAAAAAAAAACAACTATGGAGCAAAAAGCTAATTACTAGCTCGCGAAGCGGCAAACGATGGGTTCCCAGGGTGCAGTGGGACGATCGAGGATAAAAAAAAAAAACCTGCATAAACATTATGTGTACGTACCGTTGCGAGACTCCCGGTAGCCGGGATTGTTGATGGTCGCGCCCCTGTTGTCCGAGTAGCTCCTGAGTTTGGTCGGGTCACCGCCTCGCCTTGCGTATATTCCCTCGTAGACGGCCGAGATGAAAACGCCAAAGTTCACGACGATCGACATCACCTGAAAGCAAACTCGCCCCAGCTGCGTTAGGGCATATAAACAAACTCAAAGTTCCCCCCCCCCCCCATGGGAAGGGTATCCCTTGGTTATGGCTATTTCCAAGTTTCGAGTGCATGTATCGTATATAGATGGTGGTACAAAGTTCGCCGTCTGAGTTGTCTGTACCTTTTATCAGGTATACTAGAGCATACGCGTACGTGGTGAATAGAAAAATAACAAAGTGCCATTTACGCCACTTTTAACCTCCTGTTGCTATTTTTGTTTCATTCACGAAGAATAATATTAATTACAAAGTACGAACCATCCCTGACACGTATGTACATATTATGTGCAACAACAGTTGACTTTCCTACCGATCGATAGTAAAATCACGAACCATGTACCTACCCACGCTGTACATAGCGTGCAATTTTAAACAACAACAAAACATTTTCCTCTCCTGCGTGTCTAATGCCAACGCCAACAAGCACCCAAAGAGAGAATAAAGCCAGAGTTCGATAAACCGTTGGTTCTCCTATACGTGTACGTGCCTAGCACGACTCAAGTGCGTCACTTAAAAAAGCCAACGCCCACGCGAGACAGCGAAAGAGAGAGAGATAAGAAAGCTAGAGCTTAATTGGGGCAGCAACAACAAAGGCAACAGCAGATCGGCTATCCGTTGGGCCGATCGAGGTGTAGGGTGTCCATGGGTATAAACCAGACGAGATCCAGCCGAGTGTACACGGGTGATGGGAATCGACGTGGGCTGAGAGAAATAGAGCTTCGATAAGACGAGAGCCTTTGGGTATACGATATTCCTTTTTTTTTTTTTTTTTTTTTTTTTTTTTTTTTTTTTTTTTTNTTTTTTTTTTTTTTTTTTTTTTTTTTTTTTTTTTTTTTTTTTTTTTTTTTTTTTTTTCTACACGGGGGTGCGCGTTCGACGGGGTCGTGTTTTGTGAATAAGGGTTTTCAATTCTCTTTCTCTCTTTTTTTGCTTTTTCACTTCACATCGTCGATCCTTACGGTTATTCTACTCTCAAGAGCGCGTAGTTTTGCCGCGAGATCGATTGAATTTTCATTGATTGAGTAAATTACGTCGAATAAATTAAATTAGCTGGCGCTGTGTAATTTTTGATTCTCCATAGTATTAATTTATTACCAGAGGGTAACGCCCCGAAGTTGATGATAGTTAAACATAGGGAAAAATAAGAAATAACCAAAGGGAAACAGGAAAACAGAAAAAAATACACAGAGCACGAGTCACGTTGTGTACGTATAGAGCGGTGAGTACGCAAAGGAAGGAAAACGGCACCTCGAGCGCGTTAAAGTTGCCGTATCGATAAGAAACACGCTCGGGCGAGCCATAATTTTTTTTTTTTTTTTTTTCATGCCTGCTCTTTTCAAACCTCTCGCAGCCGTCGTTTAAAGATGATTTTTTTTTTCTCGCACGTTCCCTCCAAAGGAAAAACCGGAAGATAAATTACTCATTCGACGTAGGTCCGCGGTGCGTGTACACGTATATATATATATATATACTCGAATCCACCTGTGTGCAAAAATAGCCGCGAAACTCGATTGCGTTTTACGGTACACGAGCTACTGTTCCATACCGCGCGCGCTATTATTTATGAAGCAGATTTCTAGACCCGCAGAAGAAGACCACGTGTTTTATACACACACGCGCGCGCGCCGAGTCGATAAATTGCTCTATCCGACCTTGGAGTGAGTTTTTTTTTCTTTTTTTTTTTTTTTATAGGGAGGCGCGATACACGGCGATCCTTGAAATTAAAATTGGAAGAGTATATAAACTCGCTTTAAATATTTCAATGAAACCAAGTACAAACGTAGCGTGCATGGGTGGGGTATGGAAAGATATCACCGTTACGTAAGTGAAATCGACTATACACGAACAACAACAAATTATACCGATGTTCATCGCAGTATCCACTCTCAGCGGAACCAAGTACACGTGGATTCGTCAAAAAGCCACTCATCCGCGCGGAAACCAAACAATCGCCGACAGGAGCAAAAAAAAAAAAAAAAAAAAAAAAAAAAGGTACACCCGGTGCATCCCCGCCTATACCTTGTTCGCCTGGACTTGCTTAGGCTTGCTCACTTCTGTCCCGCTGAGCTTCCTCTCCCGATCCAACTCGATCTCGTCCTTCGCCCGCAGCAGCGCGTTCTTTTTTCTCCTCGCGCTCATGGCTCGCTCGCTTATACACTCGGCTCGGCACTTGATCCGCACAAATACAATGTGTGCACCAAGGTGTCACTTTGACCAATTGAATATACAACACACCCTTGTACGTTAGCAATGAGATGATTGCCCGTCGTCGTGCAATTTCGCTGCCATTGCGATTATCGCCAACCAGTCCTCTTTCGTATCGTCATTCACTTTACCCCTCGTGCACGTCTGCCGAGACGACACTGTCCACCTTCCGAAAAGATAGCTTTGCGCGAAAAGAAGGAAAACACCGCACAGTCCACTCGCGCTTCGAAAAAAAAAAAAAAAAAAAAAAAAACACCTTTCAACCAACCGGGAACGGGAAAAAATTATAAAAACCAACAGGCAAAATTTTTCCGCGTTTTTTTTTTTTTTTCTTTTTTTTTTTCATCAATGGCGAGGCGCTTTGATTATGCTGATTGCGCGAAACGCGATCGAGGATGCAGTTTGTTNTCACTTTACCCCTCGTGCACGTCTGCCGAGACGACACTGTCCACCTTCCGAAAAGATAGCTTTGCGCGAAAAGAAGGAAAACACCGCACAGTCCACTCGAAATTCGAAAAAAAAAAAAAAAAAAAAAAAAACACCTTTCAACCGAACCGAGATCGGATAAGCACAGGTGGCACAGGTCGCGGAGCAAAGAGAGAGAGAAGTTCACGTCGTTGGGGGGTATACACCTGTGTGACGTAAGGACACAATATCAAGCCGGTGTATATGTGCGCTCGGTAAGCCAAGCCAGGTCCGACTGTCGGCCGCTCCGCGACCGCTCATTGTTTTTAAACTCAAACGGCGAACTGCCGCCGATGGGTGTATAGGTGTATGCACCTACGTACCATATAATATAATACTGGCACGTGAACGCCTGTACATATATGTATATCCCTATCGTGCTCCGCAAGCTCTCGCACGCGAGTCTTGTACGTGTATACGAATGCATACACATGCTGCACCGTATACGTGCGTATGGGTCCACACCTCGTATGAGTTTGTGCAACCGATCGTTTGGTGATTTTGTTGAGATTTTTATGCGGCGTGGGTGCATTTTTTTTTCGGATGGTTGACTGTGCGGAGCAAGTGATTCAACCTGTGCGTAACTTACCTTCTTTCGGGTTTACAAAACACGTATTACGCAGCCATCGAGTCTCGAACGCGATGACCGAGCGATGATCAAGTTTATCGTATTTTGAAATTAATGTTGTTTTGTCCGTTTAATTTGTTGCTTCATTGGATTCTAATAGTGGACGTTTACTCGCAAGCTCGATGTGTGCAATCACAAGCACGACCCACATATAAACAGCACACGATCGAGCAAAACATCCTTCGATCCCCTTTGTATGTATATATGTGTACAAATATGTAAATAAATGCACGTCAATCGAACGAAAGAGCTTTTACCTTGACTTCTTTGCAAAAATTGCATTCGCAATGAGCGACAATAACAACAGGAGCAAGCGGTGGTAACAGCCTCGAATTATATTTGTAAATCACGCGAGGCCCTAAGTGATGGAAAGCTTCTACTGCAGCTGTCGGGGGAGGAGGAGGAGTAGCGGAATTGGAAAATGGGCCATTGTCCGCTCGTTAGTGGCTCTACGTTAATTGCGCCCGTTGAGAGAGAGAGAGAGAGAGCGCTTGTATGGATGCTGCGCCGAATTGGCAAAAGACGTACGTGCACGTATAAGTGTAGCATCGTGTGCTCGAGGGTCCCTGATTTGCTTCGAGTTAGGGCGTGCGTGTGATTTTTATGACAAAAACGAGGTAAGAAAGCGCGTGAGTTTACTGTGGTCTTTTTTTCCTTCTTCAAGTGGTCAGTGGGTCAATACGTGTGAGAATAGCTACAATGGGTGTTTTTGAAGAAGATTTTTTTTAAGAGTTGGGAAAATTTTTTATTTATTTTTTCAATTCTAGTAGTAATAATGAGCTTTGAAAAATATTGACTGAATCACGAACCAGACACTGTAGTGTATCAACTGAACAATAACACCTGACATCGCAATAGCACATTGTCATAAGAATCACAAATTACAACAATCAACAGCTTCGTTTAGGAAACACGTGTTGATTAATTTTTACTTTTGTGTGTCAACTCAAACGCTACCAGAGGGCTTGAGTCACATCGATTTGGGAACGAGAAATAAACCATCATAATATTTATTCCCATAACATGTAAATAATCACAAAAAAATGTAACGTTTTGTGTGCATGGAAGTATAGTATCTCAGATAACATTTTGTCTTGAAAAAAAAGAAAAGGTATACTCTTACAAAAAGTCTGACACGAACTTGGAGATGCTACATAGCTTACGAAGACAAAAACGGAAGCGAAAACAGCAGTAAGTTGAAGTTAAGTCCCCCAACTTTTCAAACAATCTTGAAAGTTTTTTTTTTTCAAATTACAAAAAAAAATTTCATATTTCAGTGGTTACGCAAAAGACAGTAGCGACACTTCATTAGCACGTGATGAAAAAAAGTTTCGCGGGACATGTACATCCTCGAGAAAAGTTTCAATACTAGCCAGAGCGTAAAACACAGAGGCGTCAGAGACCACCTAAGGATTCGAAACTAAAAATAAACCCACCTCAATTTGCACCACTGGTTCGCTCGCGTAAACAAAAAAAACAAAAAAAAAGTTTGTCCAAGCAATTCGAGCCTAGCCCAATGGAGGTATATATGGTTACCGTTTTTGCACCGAATGATGCAACCAAAACAAATTATACACGTTCAAAGAGGAAACTTTGGTCGATACGGTCGGCCCGAGTAACGAGTTGGGCGATAAAAATGTCAAACTTACTTGCATCCAGAAGCCCTCGCCTCTCGTAATGACGAAACTGTTATCTCGGTCGTCCGTTTGCATCGCAAAGAGAACCGCCGCGACAACGGCCAGACAAGCTGAAAAACAAACGAACACAACAAACTTTATTCCCATATCTGTATTTGCTATACATATAATATTATACTTGCACACGTGTAATGGCACATTACATATACTATATGCATGTTTGCGGTGTACAGAGCCAAGTATAAGAGGGGTAACTTTTTTTTATATAACAGCGGATGTTTTACACTCAAAGTTATTTTAATCCATCGGGTGCGCATAACGTTTAAAAAATAAAGGACCTTTTGCAAGCCAACAGTAATCTCTCGATTCACAAGGTCAAAATACCTTTTTTTTTCGATGTCAACAGTTGCTTAAAAAACAAAAAAAAGTGCACCTCCCCATTTGCATTTGAAATTGAGAGTGAAATGGTAATTCAGCGATTCGAAGGAAATCGTATAATGTTTCAATGAAAGAAGGACGTCTGGTAGATTCCGCGCGGTTATTTCGAGGGCGAAAAACATACACGCATATATATATATAACTTGCGCGCACGAGGTACACATGTAATACCGGTTTACCGGAAATCGGATCCAAATCGCGGACATTCGACTCGCACGCGGGTACACTAGGTAGCGTTAGCTACGCGCGCACCGTACAGCTCTCGCTACACATATATTATGTAGATGTATATTATACGTATGTACACGCTTTGCAGTTCTAGTTAAAATTGCGACATACTCTACAAGCTCATTTTCCTTTTTTCAATCCATACTGGAGTTAACACATGGAAATAAAGTTCAAAGATGGCTTTTCAAGCTAACGTCTATATAAACACCCTTATATGTACGAAAATTCATTTTTATTCGTGATGTGTCAAAAGCTCGTCCTTACGAAGGCCTTCCTCGGAAAACAAAGTATCACACACGCGTCGGGTGCTTAATTAAACATCACAGAGACGTCCAGTGCGAGAGAAAGGGAAGAGGAAGAAGAAAAGGACTTCCGCCTTTGCACCGTATCACGCGACACCTGCTCGCGTACGTATACGTTCGGGGGACTACCCACACACTCATCATACATATATATATATACGTACTCCAAGCGCATGCACGAGCTCTCCGCGGGAGCTCTCATTGTCATGTTGATTCCACATTGTGTGCACGTAAACATACAAGTACACATTACCTTGGCTCGATGGGTTTTGTGCGCGCGTATATACACACCGCGGAGCGGGAAAGTAACCGAGAGAGTCGCGCTCCTCTTTAAACTTGATGCCGATTTCCTTTTTCGCGTTTATATATAGGGCGCTGCTGGTCGTGTTATCGGATACCCAAGTGGATTTTATTGTTCAAGGTATAAGAGTATACGTGCGCAGTGATAGTGTTTTCGCGGAACATTGGACTACATGTGCGCGCTGGCAGGTGTTTTGCGGAAAGAGGACCATGGGTTTTTAAAGTGGGTGTATCGAAAATGGCGTAATAAAATGTACGTGGTCCACTATACGTAATCCCATGGATGTGTACTAAAAGTATCTCCTTTGTCCGTGTGAGTGTAATCCGTTGATTCCCGAGTAAACGAGGAACGCTCGGGTATGGGTGCGCGTACTGGGAGGTCGGCCAAGTTTCTCGGTTGAAAATCGCGGGGTGACGTGAGGGCGCATAATTTAGCACGGGATACTTATAAGCTTGGCGATTCATGCGAACGGTTACACGCTTTTTGTCGTATTCGTTTTTTTTCTTTTTCTTTTTTTTTTTTTTTTTTTTTTTTTTTTTTTTTGTTTGTTTTACCCTGAAAATAAACGACGATGGTGAGAAGTAGGGTGTATTATCAAGTTTAAAATATTCGTGGAAGCGTAGTCGCAGTTTGCCGGGATTCGCGAGCCGATCTTGGGAGGGTCTTTTGTTGATCGGTTAGAAGAAATTAGAGGATGTGAGATTAGTCAGGGAATTCAAAAAGGATTTCCATTCACATCAAATATATTAGAATAAATTAGTAGATGTACCCAATGAAAGTAGTGCAAAATATTTAAATACTAGTATAAAGCTTTTACTCTTATGGAAGTCATTAAGTTTTAATGTAAAAAAAATTATTAAGAAAATATTGGACTGGAAATTTATAAATGCATTCACATTTTTTGGTTGTAATTATGGAAACATTCAGTTGAGTGGATTTTCCAGTTGGTTTTACCTATTCTGGTCAATGGAACATTCAAGTGTTTGCGATTACACTCGTTTGAACCGAAACAATTGAAAAACAAAAAAAAAACTGAATCAGATAACAAGTAGTTACTCGTGTACTGCTACGGTCGTTAAAAATTTACGTGAAACTACAGCGAGGCATCGTAAATCTTTTTTGCACAACACACGTAAATAACCTGAAACTCGCGGATAAACTTTAAATTTCTCTTTTTCGGAGAAATAAAAAAAAAGAAATTGTGATTTTCATAATGTAATTAAAAAAAAAAAAAAAGAAAAAAGGGAAAAAAACACTTACTAGCCAAAGTGGCAAGGGCGACTTTGCCGGTGATGGCGGTGCTGTAGGACATGACGACTCGTTTCGCCGATGACGCCATGGCCAACTGCAGAATGGCCAGTCCGACGACGAAGAACATCAGTACGGCCGCACCTGCCGAGGCGAAACCCGCCACTCGGACGGTCCCTGAAAATCAATACAGCTTAACTATCAATCGATACCCATATATATATCCTATACCTTCGTCGGCTACGCGCTATACGTATTAAGTGATTAATGCGCGTGTTTGCTTTTTGGAATGTACTCTCACGTGTGGGTCGACGGAACCTTTCATATATACACATATACTGTAACCGAGTTTCTCATGGTGAACTTTTGTTTTCGTTGAAACGGATTTTATCGTGGCTGGGCCAAGGGTTGGAATTGTACGTTATCCCTCGGTAAAGCAGGTTACAAATGAAATTGAATTATTTTGACAGGTGCGTTCGTGTACTTGATGCTCAACATTAATCCGTTTTTTTTGGCAATTTGGAGGACCCTGTGTGTGCGTGTATAGTGTTATAAAACATTACTCATCGACGATAATCGCGACAAAATTTTGATGTTCAAAAAAAAAAAAAAAAAAAAAAAAAAAAAAAAAAGAAGTGGCACACATTCCCGTTGCGCAAGCAGAGTCGTGATTAGAGTGGCCCGGTATAGCAAGGGCGCGATGATGAACCGAAACGAGTGTGGCTCCCCTAATACAGCGAAATTGACTCGGATCACCGCTCGGCCGGTCATCAGTCCGCGTACGTGTGTGAAATACCGTACACTGCCGCTCCCGAATTCAAGAGAGCGGGAGGTGTGGCGGGGGGAGGTGGGCGCCCTTCGATAAAAACGCGGTAAGAGGAGGCAAAAGCTGNAAAAAAAAAAAAAAAAAAAAAAAAAAAAAAAAAAAAAAAAAAAAAAAAAAAAAAAAAAGACTAGAGGGCTGATGGTCGTATTTCAAGTTTTACAACCGATAATAACGCCCCGCAGCCGTCGCGCCGCGTTAGAGCGGTTTCCCTCTATTTTCCGGCGATACGAGCACGCGAACGAGGAGGAAAACGGCTGCGAGTGAGTTTTATGGGGATACATATACCCCCCTCCCCGGTGGTTTGGAAGCCCGAGTGTGTTGACACCTTGATCAGCAGCTCCGGGCTTTTATGGCCGCGCGCGGGATCAACGAGGAAGGAGTCGAATTTATTGTCGCTGTCCTCGGCGTGTGTAGCGGGACTTGCCGGGGGATCATCCGGATCTCTTTTCTTTTTTTTTTTTTTTTCCCTCATGCAGAGATTTAAATGGTTCACACGAAGCGGAAAGGGGGTATAGCTTCATTCCGGTCATGGTTTGATTAACTGCTGTTGTACTTTGCGTGCAGTGCTCAAGGTATACAATGTAAAGTAGTAAAACACGTGCGTCCGAAATCCCCGTGTAAAGAGTATTGAGCGTATATGTTTGCCCTCGACTGCTCTTATCTTGGAAGGCACACATTGACTCGGCAAATACGCGCATGTGTGTGTACATATAGGATACAAGTATAAGGAGCGTATTGTCTTTTTTTTTGTTTCCATTCACGTAAAGTGCGCAGCCTGAGATAATGAAGATTTCACGTGGTTATACCTCGAACAGGTTGACTATACACATTTGGGGGTACACTGAGAGAAAAAATATAATGAAGATTACTGCGCTGGAATGGTAATCTGGTAGTGTTCGGTCGTCTAGAGACTTTTTACTATTGGAACAGTAATTTTTATTATATTTTTCTCGCAGTGTATCGGTCATTAAAATTTAATTCGAAGAGGAGAAGGAGGATGCTTGTACTCACATATCGGTTTGAACCTCGTTATGCCTTGACCACAGCGTTCTCGGCCGTAGAGTAGTAATTTGCACTGCCTCCAAGGCCCGAAGTATCCTCTCTCTGCGGTTGTGCTCGCTGCAAACAAACGGTAGGTTGGAAATTAATTTTCTTCTTTCTCTTTCGTAATGTCATTTTTAGCTGTTTTTTAACAGCGTCATAGTACATTAAAAAGGACCCTCTTTTTATCACGTTTTTTGAATATACATACCTACGCATGAGAAAATTACACATGTACGCAACGGCCTCGTCATCGTGACACACAAATTATTGTTATTCAAATGTGCCCGAGTGAAAAATTTACATGCGTGAAACGAGATTCTTTCAACATTTCCATTTGCTTGGGAAACTAATTTAAAAAATATTATATCTTCTTCACTGTGAGAATAAAATGACCACTTCCGGTCGGAAAGCGCAACGGAGCGAACTATGGCCCAAAGGAAAATAATCCCACATAGGTATGAGTGCTGCCAATTCAAATCTTTGTTTTTCAATCCCACAAACTAATAAACTTTGGATGGAAAACCCACGACCCACCCTATATATACGAGGCAACAAAGCACATCATCCCGATGGAAATCGATCCCCGATTGCTCGGAGGGAGAAAGGGCCAAGCCCGATAATTAGCCCAAGTACAAAGTCAAGTTGGCAATAACCATTGGCAACGATAGAAAAAAAAAAAAAAAAAAAAAAAGTCCATCGACAAGCAGTGGGTATAAGTAACCCATATACAACAGCGGTATCGGGAAAATTAGAGAGGCCGAGCGAGTAATTTCCTTAAGCGAAACGGAACGCGAGAAAAGTGCCCGAGCGCACGTGTATATACAGTTGTACGCTCGATTGGGCGCCGGATAATGGAAACGGAGCGCGCAGTTTACTTAACTCTACGGGGTATATATATATATGTATATAATGTATATGTGCATGGGAGCGCGTATCGCGTGAGGGTATCGAAAGCTCGTCCTGTTTGTTTATCTCTTTGAAGGATATACTACGCTGGAGATCGGCATAAAGTACACACAGACACGTGTGTATAGGGTCAGGGTATCTCTTACGATCGATCGGTAGCTGAAAAATGTGCCGGAAGTCATTTATATCCAAGGTCCGTGAAATTTTTCCTCATCATCTGGCACCCCGAGGACACAACACGACGTATGCGATACCAATATCTTGGACCCTCTACATTAGCATCGCGTCGTAAAGCAAACGATCCATGAAAAGCACGACAACTCCTCCTCCTGCCATTAAATGCTATGACGTAAAAAAAAAAAAAAAAAAAAAAAAAGTAGAGAGATCGACTGTCCCTTCCACGATGATCCTCGAGGTCGTCAAATTTTTAAAGGGCGTATCGGTATACCCTGTAGCACGTGCAAGCTCATAATGACTAGGAAAAATGCGTACATATTTATAAATGTGCTTGTATAATAATAGGTACTAGTACTTTGAGTGCAGGGGACACATCGGAGCAGGTATAAGATATCTTTTTTTTTTCTTCTTTTCAGATTTCAGACAAAAATCAATAAAATTCAACGAGGGCAGTAAATGAGACACGAGGGACCCTTTTTTTCTGCCAATAGCCATTTCGACGCGGTTTCAATGTTGCGTTCGTAATGGCAATTTAAAACATTCAATACATTTTTTTTTTTTTTTTTCACAAGAGAGACAAGTACACGTCGACGACTCGGTTGAAAAAAAAAAAAGTTAGAAGCTCGATTTTAAAAGTGGGTGGAAAAATTTTAAAATTTTTCTCATGACGACCTCGAGACATCCCTAATAACAATAAAAAAAAAAGAATTATATCGGTAATCGCACCAGCTTCATTTGTCCCTCCTCGTACAAAGTAAATGAAACTTGTCATCAGTCGTCTCCTCCATTCAATATCCATATTCTCGCAGGATTATGCGACGTCTTCAAGAAATTAATATCACCCCTCCCCCCATCCTCTCGTACTATACAGTGTAGCATCGGAACGAGAGAACACGCGCAAGTAGCACTGGAAAACCCTCGCCCACGCTCAGCTTTATGCACATATCTACCTACACGTATGCATACATTACGGATGATCGGGCAGGTACAGAGGCAGCTTGTCCGGAAGAGAAAAGATTCGACTTGAAAATTCCATTTTTCTCCGCTCAAATATTGAAAGGTACGGCCGTCATCCCTCGCGAGACGAAGGGAAGGAGCTTTTAGTAATATCCAGGAAGCAATGACTACACGAGGTGTGTAGTCTCTCGGGGCTTTACTTCTTACGCCCCAAGTACATTAACGTATATATACGCGTATTGTGTGTGTACCTACGTTCTATGTGTATGTGTTTTGTCTTGTCTTAATATTATTATTATATATGTATATGTATGTCATAAGTATAGGTGAACCGGTAAGCGAATATTAAATCCGGATTACCGTATCGCACAATGCGTGCACGCGCCGATCGGCTTACCGGTCCTGTAGTCTCTGTCTCGGGGAAATTGAGACACCTGCGCGTATGTGTACATATAATGTATATACGTATGCACATAATTTGTTACGAACGTATATAACATATGTATGTATACAGCGTGCACGTATGATTAGGCGTATCCGCGTAACCGTGAGAATGTCGTTCCGCGGACGCGAAATCCCATAGCCGATCGGCTTTGCATGTATATGTACGCGCGCTCGAGCAGTAGCCGCGTACCGTTGATTATGAAAAATCTCTGCAGCCGTGGTTCATTGAGATAGCGGATGGTGTCTTTATTATCGAAGAATATCGGTATTGGAATCGCAGTTGCACATACGTATATATATACATGACGCCCCGATACGGCTCCATCCCGTAATATAAGCGTTTCTGCAGAGTTATTATACCACCCCCCACCCCCCATGGGTTTATCGGTTGGGGAGATTAATGGTCGGACTCGCAACTCCCGCGCTCGCTCTATGTAAAAGTGGAGGAAATAGAAAGAAAAAAATATGTATCGGAGGGTTACAGGGCCAACTAGTGTGTCGCATACGGAGAAATTCCCGTTTTACACGTACACGTATGGATATACACCATGTACATAATATATTATGTGCTTGATATGTACCCACACAGGGCGTCCGCGACTCTATGCATGGGTATAATATAATGTAAGCACCGATATAATATTATTGTACATTATATACATGTATGGCTCGTGCCGTGTGGCACAGCGTGACCTAGATGTTTACGTTGCCGTGGCGCGCCTCTCTCATACTTACATATACATATATACTTTACTCTCTTTCTCTTTATATTATACGGGGCTGCCTCCTGTCGCGCGTGCACGTCTGCGTTTTCCTCTGTTATGTATATAAGTATACATATAGGTATACCTACGTGCAAGTCTCGTTACAGAGGGGGATCTTGGTTTGCTTGGTGTATATTATTATGTTATAGGTAGCTCGTAACTTTTTTTTTCCTCGTAGGTGGCTGTGTACGGTGTAAGTATAACCGAACGTGCACGTCAGTAAGTAGTGGATACTTTGAACCGTCGAGTGGTGAATTTTATATAACTCGATTGTTTTTCGTTTCGAGTGATTTAACTAGACGTATATTGAAGGGAAAAGGCTACTGTTTTTAGAATTTTTTCATTTACATGTTATTGAAGTATCATTTTTTTTTTTTTTTTTTTTTTTCATTGTATTGTACATCAATAATCTCGTCTCGAGAAAGTCGAAGTGAATCAGGCTTGAATTTATCAGTCTTCGATCCTTAAATATATACATCGGTACAATAATAGAATAAAGTTCCATTAAAATGATTTAAGGGAGTTGGGTGACAAATCACTTAACGATGAAAATATTTTTAAAAAAATATATGTTGTAAAGAAACATTGCGTGGATGTAGTCACCAAATTTGAGCACAATCGCGTCTACAGATTTCGAGAAAAAAAAATTCATCAAGTGTCCCTTTTTCGTCGTCTTTAACATGGGCTCAAACGTAAGTTATCGAAAAAGTTGTAAAAAAATACCTATTACTCTTGACACAGCGATGAGAATGTTTTGAAAAACTGATATGTTATTTATGACAACTTCATTCGTATACGTGCAAAGTTTCAATAAAATCGCGTCTGCAGTTATGGAGATATTTGCACAAACGTAAACAAATTTGTTTCCTGCTTGTATGCTTCATTCATGTGGCAGACAAGGACGCACTGAGTACATTATCTTCGCCGTCAGCTCGACTTTTCCCGTGGCACGATAGCTTTTCACAAAATCACTTCTAGCCGTTCTACTCAAAATTATGATCTCAAACTTGGTATAGGCCTTAATGAGACTTTATACTTTAATGATTGAAAATACAGTTATTGCAATGAATTATTTTGTTGTAAATAAAGTAAACATCAGTGTTACGTTTACATCAGCTGTTAATTTATGTATTATTTATTTAAAAAAATAGTTGAAATAATCGACCCCTTTTCTCCATGAAAAAACTTTTGTACATGCCCCTGTTGTACGTGGATGTATGCACAATCGCATGTATCTCTTAAATAAAAAGCAAAGAATAAATGTAGCACGAAAAATCTAAGTAACATTATGGAGGTCCGCTGCCATTATTTCTTTTATCTTTTTTGCCTATTATTTAACCTCCTCGCAGAGTAATTGGTTTTGTCTGCAGTACGGTTAATGAGGCCAGTCATTTGTTTGACTTTCAGGTGAACGATTCACTACCTCCGCTCTGTTTACACGAGGACTGATCATCCGGAACATTGGTACACGTAGAGCAAACTAGTGTCGTTTTTACGGCGTTATTTTCAGAAAACGTTCAATTTTTCCTCTCTCCAGTATTCACTCCCATTTCGCCTCGTGTACTCTATTAATCGAGCCATTATTATCTATTCCTGTAATTATTTTAAACCCCCCCCCCCATGACTACGTGATTTTAATAAACACAAAAATTTGGTCCACACAAAGGCAACCGTTGGGGGGAAAAAATTGCAGAATCTTAATTTCTTGTGTCTACACCGACTCAAAGTTGAAGAAACACGCGAGTCTCGATGGAAGCTTGGACGCGTTAAAAAAATAAATTTCGAAAGAAAAAAAAAAAATCTGCTTTCAGGAAGCAGTGCTTTCTT